AAGAGAGGACTCAGGAGGTGGCGGCAGAGGAACACGCAGTGGAACAGAGGAAGGACGAAGTGCCATAGCATGGGTGCCGGGGACAGGAGGAGGACGCGGACGAGGAACCCTACGACAAGTGCGAACAGCGCGAATAGGAGAGGAAGGGCGAGACTCAGGCTCACGTAGCTCTGTAAGACCTCCAGTCTGCTCGGTGTAAGGAGAGGGAGCATGCAGAGGGGGGGCTGGCTGTAACGGCGGCTGTGATTGGTCAGGCAGTGGACACTGCAAGTGAGGAGTAAGGCCAGCAGAAGACGGAAGACCAAGAACCTGCTGAATTAGGGAAACGAAGTATGGTCGCGGTTGCACAGTGCCTCTAGCACCAGTACCGCCAGACACAGCACCTTCAGCTCCAGCTCCTCCAGCGCCAGCGCCACCAGCGCCAGTGCCTCCAGCTCCAGCACCAACAGCTCCAGGGTCTCCAGCTCCAGCTCCTCCAGCTCCAGCGCCACTAGCGCCAATGCCTCCAGCTCCAGCGCCTCCACGCTTCGCAGGGTCTCCAGTTACAGCTCCTCCAGCTGCAACGCCCCCAACACTACCAGTCCCGGCAGCTCCAGTACCCCTAGTACGAGCACCTCCAGGACCAGCAGCTGCAGCACCTCCGGTACCACCAGCTCCAGCAGTAACTCCAGCATCTCCTGCTCCACTGTCTCTAGCGGCATAGGCTCCAGCTCCGGTAGCTCCACTCCGAAGGCGGGTGCGCTGAGCAGGTGGTACTGGAGGTACTTCGGCTACTGGTCCTGAAGGTGCTCCTACCAGGGGTACTGGAGCTGCCGGGACTGGTGGTGTTGGTGGCGCTGGAGCTGGAGACCCTACAGAGCCTAGAGCTGCTGGAGCTGGAGGCTCGGGCGCTGGTGGCGCTGGAGCTGGAGGAGCTGGAGTTGGAGACACTTGCGCGGGAGGCGCTAGAGCTGGTGGCACTGCCGGTGGAGGCGCTCGAGTTGGAGGCACTGGCGCGGGAGGCGTTGGAGCTGGAGGAGCTGGTGCAGTTGACCCTGGAGGCACTGTGCGGCCGCGACCATACTTCGTTCCCCTACTTCAGCAGGTTCTTGGTGTCCCATCTTCTACCAGCCTGTGTCCACCGCCTGACCCGTCACAACAGCCGTTACAGCCAGCCTCCCCACTGCCTGCTCCTTCTCCTTACACTGAGCAGTCTGGTGGTCTTAGAGAGCGTCGTGAGCCTGCGTCTTGTCCTGTCTTGCCTGTTCGCACTACTCGTCGTGTTCCTCGTTCGCGTCCTCCTCCTGTCCCCGGCACGCACGCTATGGCACTTCGTCCTTCCTCTGTTCCACCATGTGTTCCTCTGCCTGCTCCTCCTGAGTCCTCTCTTCCTGAGGTCCCTGACCCTGAGTCTGGCCGCACTCGTGCTACCAGTCCCACTGTCTCTCGTCTCCTCGCCACTGCTGTCACTGGCCCTTCCTTTGAGTCTGCTGCTGCGTCTGCCCTCGTTGCTGAGCTGCTTGACTTTGCTGCTGCATGTCGTCTAGACTACGCCACTGCTCTTGTTGCTGAGTCTGCGTCTGCGAGTCCTCCGTCCGTCAATGGTGAGTGTGCTCTTGGCACGGACGTCCTTGAGGACAGGCAGGAGGACTTTGAGTGTCTTGCAGCTGCTGTACCTCGTTTCTCTTCCATGCTGCTTGCCCCTTAGGGAGACCCGGATACACAAGACATCCCGACCCTGCGCTCTTACGCAAAGGCGATTACGGGTCCTTACTCCTCTCAGTGGCAGGCAGCCATGGATGCCGAGATGGCATCCTGGAAGTCCACAGGCACCTATGTCGACGAGGTTCCCCCACCTGGGGCGAACATAGTCGATGGCATGTGGATCTTCAGGGTGAAGCGGGCGCCGGGTTCTCCGCCTGCCTTCAAAGCGCGTTACGTTGCTCGAGGCTTCAGTCAGCGACAGGGTGTTAACTACTTCCAGACCTTCTCCCCCACCCCGAAGATGACTACTCTTCGGGTGTTGCTGCACGTCGCTGCTCAGCGTGACTACGAGTTGCACTCTCTGTACTTCGGTACAGCTTTCTTGCAGGGCAGCCTACACGAGGAGATCTGGCTGCGCCGCCCACCTGGCTTCACAGAGTCGTTTCCTTTAGGTACCCCCGTGGAGCCTCCGGTGGCCAGTCTACGGTCTCCGCCAGGTGCCTCGCGAGTGGCACGACACACTAAGGACTACACTTGTGGCTCTTGGGTTTGCTCCTTCAACGGTCTACGCACCGACACCTCGCTGCCGCCGTTCTACGTCCTCGTGTACGTCGACGACCTCGTCTTTGACACAGTTGACACCGAGGCACCGACCCTTGTGAATTCGGAGCTGCAGAAGAGACACACCTGCACTGACCTGGGTGAACTGCGCAGCTATCTTGGCTTGCAGATCACTCGGGACAGAGCACGGCGCACCATCACCCCGATCAGTCACACATGGTGCACCAGGTCCTTCAGCGCTTCGGCTTCCAGTTCTCCTCGCCACAGCCCACTCCTCTGTCTCCGGCCACTCGCTCTCAGCTCCACCTTCGGACGAGTCCGTAGAGCCGAGTGGTCCGTACCCAGAGCTTGTGGGTTGCCTCATGTCATTGATGACGTGCACACGACCTGACCTCACGTACCCTCTCAGCCTTCACAGGGTTACACCTTCAGCCTTGGTTCCAGCTCTGTTTCTTGGCGGTCTACCTGCTCGTCTTCGGTTCTCAGCTCCAGTTGTGAGGCTGAGATCTACGCTGGGGCCATGGCTGCACAGGAGGTATGCTGACTCATCTACTTGCTGACTGACTTGGGAGAGCAGCCTCGTTCGCCCCCAGTTCTGTACGTAGACAACAAGGCCATGATTGCCTTGTGTCAGGAGCATAGAGCAAAGCATATTGCTCTGCGATACTTCCTTGCTCGAGAGTTGCAGCAGCGTGGCCAGCTTCGTCTTGTGTACGTGGCCACTAGGGCCAACACTGCTGATATATTCACCAAGGCACTTCCGCCTGGTGATCATCAGCGCTTCTCTACTGTGTTAGGCCTTGTGCCTACTTTGCCTCACTTGCTTACGGCGTGACTTTGCTTGTAATGTGATATATATACATACCTGCATGCTTGCACTTGCTAGGGTATGATCACTGTATTGTTTCTTCTCTTTTATATAACTCTGCATGTGAACTGGCCTTGTGGCCCTTTGCTTGTGCTCGGACTGTGTGGTGATTTTGTGATCCACCCGGATCTTGCTTTGCTTTTCTTGACTGGTCTTGTGACCACTTGTTCTCCCCCACTTTGCCTATGGGGGTGTGTCAAACTTATATATAGCTTACATTGTGTAGGCTGTAGTGGGGTAGCCAATAAGGGGTACAACCTAATTAGGGTTAGTACTTGTACCCAACTCTTTGCTAGTTCACACCATTCTCGTTCATTACTTCTGATAGGTTCAAGGAATGCTTGAGAGCCCACTCGACATATCTCCAAGAGTCTCAGTGCCTTCACCTCATGGAATCCCCGTGGATGGGGATTTCGCTCGACGAATGCATATGGGAAAATCTAATAATTTACGCCATGTTCTTAAAAAACCCCACAGTTGATACCGAGTTTTTGACATTGATCACAGTTGACGGCTGTGACGCTGCTTCCCTGACCTCTGCAGTTGTGCAGTATTTGACTGCCATTGGTGTGGACCTCCAGAAGATATCAGGCATTTCAACCGACGGTGCAAGCATGATGAATAGGAAGAACAACGGCGTCGTGGCGAGGCTGCGAATGAGGATTCCTCACCTCGCCTCAATCCACTGTATCGCACATAGGTGAGCCTTGTTTGGGCATTTTATAATACTTGCCTTTCCAGCAGGATTGTGTACTAACTTCAATCCCCCGCTCTGTTCTTCCGTGCAGGGAGGCGCTCACTGCCCGTGATGCCGCGGATGTAGTCCCGGAGTTACGCATGGTTGACGATGTGGTGCGTGCGTTGTCAGAATTTTATAGTGCTTACATTTGTGTAGGCTATAGTGGGGTAACCCATAAGGGGTACAACCCAATTAGGGTTAGTACTTGTACCCAACTGTTTCATAGTTCATTCATTCTCGTTCCTTATCCTGACATGGTTTCAGAGCAGGTCCTTCGTTAGGACTGATTTTTTTGGGCCCATCATAGCGCTGCCCCACTAGCCGCCCTGCTGGCTCACGCGCCGCCCCTAGCGACCCTCGTGCCGCACTTGCTGCCCTGTGAGCCGCCCCTCGTGCGGTCTGTCCGTCGACCCTAGGCCCCCGCGCGCTCCGTCGACCCTAGGCCCCGGCCCGCCCCGTCGACCCTAGGCCCCGTGCGCCCCGTCGACCCTAGGCCCCGGCCCGCCCCGTCGACCCTAGGCCTCGGCGCGCCCTGTTGACCCTAGGCCCCAGCCCCTCCCGTCGACCCTAGGCCCCGGCCCGCCCCGTCGACCCTAGGCCCAGCGCGCCCCGTCGACCCTAGGCCCCGGCCCGCACCGTCGACCCTAGGCCCTGCGCGCACCGTCGACCCTAGGCCCCAGCCCCTCCCGTCGACCCTAGGCCCCGGCCCGCCCCGTCAACCCTAGGCCCCGCGCGCCCCGTCGACCCTAGGCCCCGGAGCGCCCCGTCGACCCTAGGCCCCGGCCCCTCCCATCAACCCTAGGCCCCGGCCCGCCCCGTCGACCCTAGGCACTGCGCGCCCCGTCGACCCTCGGCCTTGGCCCGCCCCGTCGACCCTAGGCCCTGTGCGCCCCGTCGACCCTAGTCCCCGGCCCGCCCCGTCGACCCTAGGCCCCGGCGCGCCCTGTTGACCCTAGGCCCCAAGGCCAGTTCACATGCCTTGGTGAATATATAAGCAATGTTGGCCCTAGTGGCCACGTACGCAAGACGAAGCTGGCCACGTTACTGCAACTCTCGAGCAAGAAAGTATCGCAGAGCGATGTGCTTCGTTCTGTGCTCCAGTCTGTGCTCCTGACACAAGGCAATCATGGCCTTGTTGTCTACGTACAGTTATGGAGGGGAACGAGGCTGCTCTCCCAAATCAGTCAGCAGGTAGGTGAGCCAGCGTAGCTCCTGTGTAGCCATGGCCCCGGCGTAGATCTCAGGCTCACAACTGGAGCTGAGAACCGAAGACGAACGGGTAGACCGCCAAGAAACAGAGCCGGAACCAAGGCTGAAGGTGTAACCCTGTGACGACCGCTGCGTAGCTGAGTCGTCAACCCAGGAGGCGTCTGCTTGACCGGTAAGGATATCTGGACCCCGTACTCCAAGCACGAGCCCCATGCCCGACGTACTGCACAAGTAACGCAGTACCCTCTTCGCAGCATCCCAGTGCACCTTTCGGTGCCTACCGGGAGCCATGTAGCGAGCCAGGAGGCTGAGAGGGTACGGGAGGTCGGGTCGAGTGCACGTCATCAGGTACATGAGGCAACCCACAAGCTCTGGGTACGGACCACTCGGCTCTACGGACTCGTCCGAAGGTGGAGCTGAGAGCGAGTGGCTGGTAGACAGAGGAGTGGGCTGTGGCGAGGAGAACTGGAAGCCGAAGCGCTGAAGGACCTGGTGCACCATGTGTGACTGAGTCAGGGTAATGGTGCGCCGAGCTTTGTCCCGGGTGATCTGCAAGCCAAGATAGCTGCGCAGTTCACCCAGTTCAGTGCAGGTGTGTCTCTTCTGCAGCTCCGACTTCACAAGAGTCAGTGCCTCAGTGTCAGCAGTAGCAAAGACGAGGTCCTCCACGTAGACAAGGACGTAGAACGGCGGCAGCGAAGTGTCGGTGCGTAGAAACAGCAACGGGTCAGCAGTAGCAGGAGCAAACCCAAGAGCCACAAGTGTAGTCCTCAGTATGTTGTGCCAATCGCGCGGCGCCTGGCGGAGACCGTAGACTGGCCGCCAAAGACTCCACTGAGTACCTGCAGGAAAAGACTCAGTGAAACCAGGTGGGCGGCGCAGCCAGATCTCCTCGTTCAAGCTGCCGTGCAGGAAAGCTGTGCTGAAGTCCAGAGAGTGCAACTCGTAGTCACACTGAGCAGCGACGTGCAGCAACACTCGAAGAGTAGTCATCTTCGGGGTGGGGGAGAAGGTCTGGAAGTAGTCAACTCCCTGTCGCTGACTGAAGCCTCTAGCAACGTAATGCGCCTTGAAGATAGGCGGAGAACCCGGCGGCCGCTTCACCCTGAAGATCCACATGCCATCGACTATGTTCGCCCCACGTGGGGTAACCTCGTCGACGTAGGTGCCTGTGGACTTCCAGGATGCCATCTCGGCATCCAAGGCTGCCTACCACTGAGAGGAGTAAGGACCCGTTATCGCCTCTGCGTAAGAGCGCGGGGTCAGGATGTCTGGAGCATCCGGGTCTCCCTCAGGGGCAAGCAGCATGGAAGCGAAACGAGGTACAGCAGCTGCAAGACACTCAAAGTCCTCCTACCTGTCCTCAAAGACGTCCGTGCCAAGAGCACACTCACCCCCGACGGACAGAGGACTGGCAGACGCAGACTCAGCAACAAGAGCAGAGGCGTAGTCTAGACGACAGGCAGCAGCAAAGTCAAGCAGCTCAGCAACGAGAGCAGACGCAGCAGCAGACTCAAAAGAAGGGTCAGTGACAGCTGTGGCGAGGAGACGAGAGACAGTGGGACTGGCAGCACGAGCACTGGCAGACTCAGGGTCAGGGACCTCAGGAAGAGAGGACTCAGGAGGAGCAGGCAGAGGAACCCGCAGTGGAACAGAGGAAGGACAGAGTACCATAGCGTGCGTGCCATGGACAAGAGGAGGACGCGAACGAGGAACGCAACGAGCAGTGCGAACAAGCGAGACAGGACGAGACGTAGGCTCACGTCGCTCTGTAATACCGCCAGAACGCTCTGTGTAAGGAGAAGGAGCAAGCAGTGGAGAGGCCGGCTGTAACGGCGGCTGCGATTGGTCAGGCGGGGGACACAGGAGGGGAGGAGTAAGGGCAGCAGAAGGCAGGGTACCAAGAACCTGCTGGAGCAGGGGAACAAAGTACGGTCGCGGCCGCACAGTGCTACCAGAGTGAACAGCTCCAGCTCCTCCAGCTCCAGCACCTGCAACACCAGGGCCTCCAACTCCAGCGCCTCCTGCGCCAGGGCCACCAACTCCAGCTCCTCCAGCTCAAGCGCCACCAGCGCCAGTAGTACCAGACTCCGTAAGGTCTCCAGCTCCAGCACCCTCAACACCACCAGTCCCGGCAACTCCAGTACCCCGGGTACGAGCACCTCCGGGACCAGTGGTCGCAAGTACCGCCAGTAACACCAGCTACAGCAGCAACTCCAGTACCTCCAGCTCCAGCAGCACCAGCACCTCCAGCTCCAGAAGCTCCACTCCGAAGGCGCGTACATCGAACAAACCACTCACGCAACTGCTGCAGAGACAGTCTCGGCGAAGCACCAGCAGAACCTCCAGACGAAGTTGCACCCTGAGGCTCCGTACCTCCAGACTCCGCACCCTCCGACTCAGCACCCCCAGGCTCAACACCCTCAGGCTCAGCACCCCCAGGCTCACCACCCCCAGTCGCAACACCCCCAGGCTCAGCACCCCCAGTCTCAGCACCCTCAGACTCCGCACTCCCAGGCTCCGCACCCCCAGACGCAGCACCCCCAGGGGGTCTACCGGAGGGGGACCGGGAGCAAGGAAGAGCGGCAGGGGCGGGGGAGGAGCAGAGCGGTAGGGGAAGAGACGGTTAAAACGGAACCGACTCGTCAAACGTGACATCCTGAGAAGGGAAGAGACGGCGCGAGGTGGGGTGGTAAAACTGCCAGCCAGGTGCGTCAGGGACAAAGCCAAGAAAGACGCAGGGGATAGCACGGGGGGAGAGCTTGTCCACGGACGTATCGCGAACAAAGGCACGAGATCCCCAGACCCGGAACATCGACGCATCGCCAACCTCCCCCGTCCAACGCAGTATGGGCGAGGTCTCCGGCAAGGAGACACGGGGCCAGAGGTTGAGCTGATGCGCAATGTACCGGACCGCAAACGGCCACAGAAAATGGGGAGCAGCCGCATGGATCATGGAGGTACGAGCGACCTCCATGACTAAGCTGTGAGAATAATGAGAGGAATGAATGATTTAGGAAGCAGGTGGGTACAAGTAGGAAACCTAAAAGTGTTGTACCCTATAAGAACTACCCCACTACAGCCTAAACAGACTATAGCATATATAAGTTTGACACACCCCCATAGGCAAAGTGGGGGAGAACAAGGGGTCACAAGACCAGTCAAGAAGGCAAAGCAAGCTCAGGGTGGATCACAAAGTCACCACGCAGTCTGAGCACAAGCAAAGGGCCACAAGGCCTGTTCACATGCAGAGTTATATATAAAGGAAAGTAAACAATACAGTGAACACAACCTAGCAAGTGTAAGCATGCAGGTATAAGTATATAGAGTACAGTACAAGCAGAGTCAAGAAGTCAACAAGTGAGGCACAGTAGGTACAAGGCCTAACACAGTACAGAAACGCTGATGATCACAAGGCTGAAGTGCAAGGACTCAGTAGGTGCAGTACCAGAGAGAGCAGACGCACCAGCACCTGGAGCAGCAGACGCACCAGTACCTGGAGCAGCAGATGCACTAGCACCTAGAGCAGCAGCCGCAATGCCCGGGTCGGGCGGGACACTCAGGTAACAGTCACCCTCAGCACTATCAGCAATAGCATACATGGCAGCAAGGATAGCATCAAAATCTAGATCAAAGATAGGCACATTCTGCAGAAGCAGATCATGCCAGCGAGGGAGCTCAACGGCGTCAGGATACTGGGCACGCTAAGCGTCAGTCAAGCGACCGAAGCAGCGCTGCGTAGTGTGTGGGAGCCCACACACCTCCCCACTACAAGTGCCGGTGCGAAGAACGTAAGTGCAGGGACCTGCACCCCCAGACCTCCCACGCCTAGCGTACCACTCACGAAGCTGCTGAACCGACGGGGTCTCACGGGAGCGCAGCTGCTGCTGGCGCTGGTTGCCACCAAAGCCTCCACGCTGCGTGGCTGCACCTCAACCAGCAACACCGCCGCCGCCACCTCCACCACCGCTGCCTCCACCACCTCCGCCACCGCCGCCACTACCTCCACCGCCGCCACTGACGCCCCCACTCCCGGTACCACCCCCACCTCCACCGCTACCTCCTCCGCCTCCTCCACCTCCTCCACTGCTTCCCCCGCCGCCCCCTCCACCACCCTTGCTCCCCTTGCCCTTGCTGTTGCGGCGTGTCCCACTAGGGGCAGACGCAGCTCCGACCTCCTCAGTGCCAACGAGGTCGACAGCAGCAGCAGAAGCAACAGAGGGGAGAAGGGGGACAGGGGAACACCCCTCAAAGAAGGGGGTGCGACGGTCGCCGCGAGAAGCACCTACAGCTAAGATACTCTTCTCAGCTGCAGCAAGGCGCTCCTCTAGCAGGTCGACAGTCAGATCGGTGGGGCAAAGGGAGAGAAAGTGATCCCTGACTGAAGAGAGGGAGTCAGGGAGGCGGGTGACTAGGTAGTAAAGGGTGATGTACATGGGGGGGGGGGGTTCTTGGCACAGAACTCAGTGGGAAGGGCAGCGCGGTAGCGGGCGTCACTAGTGCGAAGGTGAGCAACTAGGTCAGCAACTGTGGCAAAGGCGGCAAGGTCAGGGAAAAGGTACGGTAGCATGAGGCGGCTGAGGGCAACAGTGGCAGGGGAGGAGTAGCGTGCAACTACAGCGTCGTACAAAGACTGAGCAGTCTTGTACTGGCCAAAATGTGTGCGCTCAGCAGGCGGCAGGTGACTACGAACAGCAAGACGAGCAACGGCGTCACGAGTGGCCCACTGCGAGCAAACTGTACTGTCAGCAGTGGCAGCAGGAGCAGTGGAAACACCGGACGTGTGATCGAAAAGGGATACCCCATCCCTAGAATCACACTGAAGAAAAAGCTGTAGGTCGTCAACCCACACGTCAAAGTCAACTGCACGTCCCTCAGCATCAAAGGTGAGAACGGTAGGACTAGCCATAGCAGCAGTAGGAGCAGTAGCAAGAGTAGCAGCAGTAGCAGCAGTAGCAAAAGTAGCAGCAGCGGCAGTAGGGCAGTGCAAGGCAGTGCGGCTCAGTGGGGCGGCGCGGCTCGGCTGAGTGGCGCGGCTCGGCTGGGCGGCGCGGCACGGCTGGGCGGCGCGGCTCAGCTGGGCGGCGTGGCTCGGCTGGGCGGCGCGGCTCGGCTGGGCGGCGCGGATCGGCTTACCAGAGACGGGGTGCAGGGGCGGGCCCGTGTCGGGTGCAGGGGCGCACCAGTAGGGGGGGAGGGGGGGGCGCACCAGCAGGGGCCGCGCCAGCAGGGGCCGGCAGGGGCGCGTCAGCAGGGGCCGGTAGGGGCGCGCCAGTAGGGGCGCGTCAGCAGGGGCCGGCAAAGGCGCGTCAGCAGGGGCCGGCAGGGGTGCGCCAGCAGGGGCGCGTGAGGAGGGGCCGGTAGGGGCGCGCCAGTAGGGGCGCGTCAGCAGGGGCCGGAATGGGTACGCCAGTCGGGGCCGGCAGGGGCGACGGCAGCTGCTGCAGGGGCAGCTTAGAGCCGCGAAGGGGGGGGGGCGCGAAGAGCCGCTAAGGGGCCGTGAAGAGCCGCGGAGAGGGCCGCGAAGGGCCATGAAGGGGCCGCGAAGGGCCGCGAAGGGCCGCGAAGGGCCGTGAAGGGGACGCGAAGGGCCGCGAAAGGGGCCGCGAAGGGCCTCGAAGGGCCGCGAAGGGCCGCGAAAGGGGCCGCGAAGGGCCGCGAAAGGGGCCGCTAAGGGCCGCGAAGGGGCCTCGAAGGGCCGTAAGAGGGGCCGCTAAGGTCCGCGAAGGGGCCGCGACGGGCCGCGAAGGGGGCCGCGAAGGGCCGCGAAAGGGGGGCGCGAAGGGCCTCGAAGGGCAGGCGCACGGGGCGCAGCTAGGACAAGCGCGAAGCGCGCTTCGGGCAGGTAAGGAAAAAAAAAAAATCGTAGTGGTGGGCCCTTAAAAAAAAAACGGTCCCACTAGGGAACCCGCTCTATACCATGTGAGAATAATGAGAGGAATGAATGAACTAGGAAGCAGGTGGGTACAAGTAGGAAACCTAAAAGTGTTGTACCCTATAAAAACTAACCCCACTACAGCCTAAACAGACTATAGCATATATAAGTTTGACATAAGCCAATGCGGCGCTCAGCAATCCCATTTTGCTGAGGGGAGTCCGGAAGCGTGAACGACTGGAGAATGCCCTCCCCACGACAAAAGTCCCCGCAAGAGGTTGGAGGAGAACTCACCACCTCTGTCAGAGTGCAGACGCAGGATAGGAAGGTCCTTGCCGAAGCGCTCGTGGAGCTGGAGACGGACTGTGCGGATCCAAGGGATCAAGACATCAACGACCTGACCCTTGCTGCGCAAGGGGAAGACCGTGGTGTACCGCGTGTAGTCGTCAACTACTAGTAGAAAGTAGCGCTCGCGGCTCTGTCCACTGACGCGGGCTGGGCCCCACACGTCCATGTGGAGAGTCTGCAGGGGAGCAGTCGTCGGGGGAAACGAGGAGGAGTGAGGAGCGGCGCGCTGCCGCCCCTCGACGCAAGGAAGACAGGGCGGGGCAGGCGAGGGCGGCAGGGGAGCCAGAGACCTGGGGAGACCAGAGACAAGGAGACGGGAGTGCATGCCACGAAGGCGTGGCAGGGAGGGGTGACCCAGGCGGTGGTGCCAAAGAAGAGTCTGGTGCGACAGGAGGCGACACGAGCAAGCGGCGGCTACCTGACCTGACGTGGACACCTGAGCAGACGCAGCGACCTGAGGAGGCTCGGTAGCGAGTGTGTACAGACTCGACCCTGGCCGACGACTGTGAACGTGGCCAGGTGACGCCCCGTCCGTGTGCACGTGCAGATCGACACACGCTGACCCCCAAGAGTGGTGGTAGTGACCATCGCATCCTGGAGGGCAGCGGGTACTCACCAAGTTCGTAGAGAACGAGGGGAGGTGAAGACCTGATAGTGAGCTAGACGGAACCGCCGGACACGGGAGGACAGTGGAGGAACGGGCCACGACCGGTCTCCCGGAGGGGTCAGCCAGTCTGACCGGGACAAGTGCAGGAAGAGGAGTGAGGGTGGTGCTGTCACGAAAGAAACAGCGCGATGCGCCTGAGTCCAACGTGAAGGTGTGCAAGGCCTCAGCAGGCGCAGTACCAGGGAGAGTACCAGACTCACTAGCACCTAGAGCAGCAGCGGGCTATATCCGGGTCAGGCGGCACACACCGGGAACAGTCACCCTCAGCACTAACAAACAAAGCATACATTGTAGTGAGAATAACATCAGAGTGTAGAGCAAAGATAGCCACACCCTGCCTAACCAGCTCGAGCCAGCGAGGAAGCTCAGCCGCGTTGCCAAACTCCGCACGCCAGGTGTCGCTCAGATAGGAGAATCAGCGAGACTCTGTGTGACCAACTGTCCCGCAAGTCTGACCAGCCCGGTCACCTGAGCGAATGACGTTACGGGGCAGCGAGCACTACTCCGAGACGCCCCATGCTGAACGTACCACTCACGAAGGTGCTGAGGCGAAAGGGTCTCGCGCGGACGCCGCTGCAGTGTTGTCAGGCCACCGCCAGGAACTCCCAGCTGAACAGCTGCAGATGCGACCTCCTCTACTGCCGCCGCCACCACCCCTACTAGTGTACCACTCACGTAGCTGCTGGGGTGGAAGGGACTCGCGCTGACGCTGCTACAGTCGCATCTGGCCACCGCCAGAAACTCCCCACCGAGCAGCTCACAGCGACTGCTAGGACAGCCTCCACCACTCCAACTGCTGCCACCACTACCGTCACACCCCCACCGCTACACCAAAGAGAAGTCATAGCGGGCAAGCTAGGCGGCGTGCGGGGCGGCAGGGGGTGTGAGAGGGGCGGCAGTAGGAGCAGAGTAGCAGTAGTAGCAGCAGTAACAGCAGGTAGCAGTAGCAGCAGTGGCCGTGGGGCTAAGGGGCCGAGGGGCTAGGGGTCGACTGGGCCGGGTGCGCGGGCTGGGGGTCGACAGGGGGCCGGGCGCGGGCTAGGGACGGGGCCGAGCGCGAGGCTAGGGGCCGACGGGGTCGGGCGCGGGCTAGGGACAGGGCCAGGCGCGGGGCTAGGGGTCGACAAGGGGCCCGGGCGCAAGGCTAGGGGCCGAGGGGGCCGGGCGCGGGCTAGGTTACGGGGCCGGGCGCCGGGCTAGGGGCCGACAGGGGGCCGGGCGCGGGCTAGGGGACGGGGCCGGGCGCGGGGGCTAGGGGCCGACTGGGCCGGGCGCGGCTAAGGACGGGGGCCGGGCGCGGGGCTAGGGGCCGACGGGGCCGGGGCGCGTGGCTAGGGGCCGACCGGGCCGGGCGCGGGCTAGTGACGGGGGCCGGGCGCGGGGGCTAGGGGCCGACGGGGCCGGGCGCGGGCTAGGGACGGGGCCGGGCGCGGGCTAGTGACGGTGGCTCGGGCGCGGGGCTAGGGGCCGACAGGGCCGGGCGCGGGCTAGGTACGGGGCCGGGCGCGATCTAGGTACGGGGCCGGACGCTAGGCCGGGCGTTGGGCGCTGAACTGGGCCGGGCGCGAGCTAGGTACGGGGCTAGGCGCTGGGCAGGTACGGGGTCGGGCGTTGGGCCGGAACTGGGCTGGGCGCTGGGCTAGGTACGGAGCCGGGCGCGGGCTAGGTACGGGGGCCGGCGCTGGGCGAGGAACGGTGGCCGGGCGATGGGCGCGGAACAGGGCCGGGCGCTGGGCTAGGTACTGGGCTCCGGGCGCGGGATAGGTACGGGGCCGGGCGCTGGGCTAGGTACGGGGCCGGGCGCGGGCTAGGTACGGGGCTGGGCGCTGGGTCAGAACGGGGCCCGCGCGCAGGCTAGGGACGGGGCCGGGCGCGGGCATGGGACGAGGCCGGGCGCTGGGCGAGGAACGGCGGTCGCGCGCGAGCTAGGGATGGGGCCGGGCGCGGGCATGGGACTGGGCCTGGGCGCAGGCTAGGTACGGGGCCGGGGCGCGGGCTAGGTACGGGGCCGGGCGCGGGCTAGGTACTGGGCCGGGCGCGGGCTAGAGACGGGGCCTGGGCGCGGGCTAGGTACGGGGCTAGGGGTCGACGGGCCGCGGGCTAGGGGTCGACGGGTCGCTTAGGTAGGGGCGACGGGCCGGGCGCGCGTTAGGTACTAGCAGCGTAGCAAGTGGTGGCCCAAGGAAACCTGCCTCTGATTCCTATCAGAAGTAATGAACGAGAATGGTGTGAACTAGCAAAGAGTTGGGTACAAGTACTAACCCTAATTGGGTTGTACCCCTTATGGGCTACCCCACTACAGCCTACACAAATGTATAAGCTATAATGTTCTGACAGAACTCGTAACTGCCAAGCACACAAGCGGAACGCATCAGTATTTAACATAAACAGCAGAACCAGAAACCAGAAACAAACAAAATGCGTCAAACTCACTCGGTATAGTATGCGCCGTAACCGCCAGCCGGAGGGAGGTCAGGTAAGCCCTCCTTAGCGAGAAACCAGCAGAGAGGCACGAACATCGCGATGGGAGCGTCTGCCTTGCAGATGAAGAGGGCAATGTGGAGGCACCGTATGATATGCTTCGTCGATGCATCGGTTGTCTGCCACCTTGTTATAGTAGCTTGCTTCGCTTTGGCCGCCTCTGCCAACGCTTTGTTCTTCAGTGCCTGCTTGTGGGCTCGGGAAGCGGAGTGAGAACGGATGCTCCCCACCTGCAAGTCACGACATCCCTCTCCTCTAGTCCTGAAGGCCGTGTGTGCGCATGGATCTCCATGTTAATGCAAGCTGCACCATTTCAAAGAGGGCCTACCGTTAGCCATACGGATGAGGCGCAGCCATGAAAATTCTTCCTGCTCACTGGGTGTCCAATGTGCTTTTAGCAACATCAAACTCAGCTTCGGCACTTGCGGTAGGAGGCTTTGGCTCGGCAATGAGCAGCAGGACGGGGAGGTGATGTCGCTTTGCGTGGAGCCGGGGCGCCCCAAAGCGTTTGTTGCCGTCGTGAACGTTGCACCCACGCGCAGACGTTTCGATGGCGTGGTGCTAGCTGTTGACGGAGTCCCCGCGGTTGCCTTCGACGAGCCTTCGCCACCGCCAGGAACAAGGACTAGCAAGGGGTGTGGCTCGAACGCCGATGGTGAATCGGGTGGCTTGAACGGGTAGACCGTTCTTACCTCACAGTCCGGCGAGGCGTCACCCTGTGTCAGCGTGATGGGGACGGTGTAGTTGTCGAGACAGTCGGGGTAACACCCCAAGCACGGATAACCCATTTCTGGTGCTACCAAGGGGATCTGCCTCTGCAGCAGGCATGATTGAGAGACGACAGGTGCCTGTATTAGAGAGCGTATGAACAAGTGTGGGTCCCCTTTGGGAAAGCAAGAACCCCAACAGGCCCCCACTGGATTGATGCCGTGCTGCGTGTGCAGCACCACAATTACTGCCAGCCGTTGCGTGCGACAGCACGAAGCTGTGCTGCGCGCGCTACGTGATAGAAATGGCAGTGGGGTACTGGCTGTGGCAAGGCATCAAATTTCCTCGTGCGATGGCAAAAAAATATGCTAACCTGACGAATAGGACGCAAATGGCGGCCCGCCGACCAGAAATCTCAAGTTGCACTTGGGACCAACTCGACAAGTGAAACTGTGGGCCAGTGGGCCCGTTTTGTCTGCTCGTCACCTGTGATCGCATCCTCGGTAAGGAAGATTTGGTAACAAGGTAATGGAAATCGCACCCTGTCAGAAAGGGTAATCGAAATTTGGATCAGGGTATAATATTTCATAGCCTGTTTGGTCTAGGGTAAAAATCTCATACCGGATTCTGAAAGGGTAACTGGAAAAAATTTCGCGCCGCTCATCAGGGCAATCAAGGTAAAATACCCTGATAATTGGGGCTGGCCTCGACAAATCCCAACCTCGGCGCTAGGCCCGTAGCGCACCCCAATTCCCCGCGTTACCGTTACCACTCTAGTTCGCTATATATTCTTCGCGCATGCATTCGCTCATTGTATTGTTTCGCCGTCATTGTATGTTTTTGCTTCGATAGTGCAATTCTAGCTCAATTGCACTGGGGTAACAATATCAATGAAGGATCATGCTTTCGTCTCTTTCTGGTAGAGAGGAGCGCTCAATGAAGACAGTGATATCTATTTTGTTGAAGTGGTTTCAAATTTCGCTCTCGAATGATCATCCAGTCACACCACAACTTGGTCGGAGACAAGTCCTGCTGTCATTTCCATCAGTAACGGTAGTTGAGCGTTAGTTCCTCTATAGCAATGGATATGAGTGAAGTCCAATCAAGACTCCTGTCGCAATCAGTTGAGCGTCTGACAACTCGAGTGATATTCTCCTTTTCGATGCTTCCAGAGATAGACGTAGAAGCAAGAAGAAACATCCGACTGTAAAGCGGGCCGAGGAGCTGCTAAGAATGTGCAACCTGAAATTTGAGCCGGGCACTTTCGGCGTGGTATGTGGAGGAAAATTACGCCCGTTTCACCATGCATCTTTTTCTTGTAATTGATTGGAACCGAGTTTTTTTATGAGGAGTTCCCAGCGCCAGCCACTTCTTCGTTAGCTTATTGCCACACCTACGCTTGGAACTTGACTGCCGGCGGTAAACAGGCGTTGGGCAGCTACGGGAGATGGCGATTGGTCATCGCTTGCTGTCGCATTAATCCAACCATTCCATTCAGTGTCCGGCTCAGCCCGACATTCCGAAGCCCTCACGGTCTCAGGCTGTCGCGGCTCTTGCGACTGAGATTGTCGCGAGAATGCGTGTGCCATCCGACTAAGCAACTGTTCTTGTAGATGACAGAAATATCGTGCCAAACCTTCTTGATTCCTCGTCCTTACTACGCCTCCGTTCCAAACTAGCTTTTCTGTATCTGCCATTATCACCCCATTCCCTGCGCAGGGTGAGGTAGCCAAGGCTGTCATCTGCTTCGACATCGCCTGCCACCTGTACGCGAGATAATCTTCCCCCTACCCTGAAACACAACCCCCTCGAACAACCATCTTTCCCTCCCTCTCTCCCTCCCTCCCCTTTTCCGTCCGTCCGTCCGCCTGTCCGTCCGTCCTTCCGTCCGTCCGTCCGTCCCTCCCTCTTTCCTCCCTGACTCCCTCCCTCTCTCCCTCTCCCCTTCCCTCCCCTTCTTCCCTCCCTCCCTCCCTCTCTCTCTCCCTCCCTCCCTCCCTTCTTCCCTCCCTCCCTCCCTCCGTCTCTCCCTCACTGCCTCCCTACATCACGCACTCCTACACTCAAGGGCTCATCTTCTCGCTGAAATCCTCACTGTTTTTCCCCTTCTCATCCCCCTCCCCGGTTCCCATCTCCTACTCCCTCCCATCCAACCCCCTCTTCCCTTCCACCCCTCTCGTTCCCCCCGTTCCCCCTCTCCTCACCACCCGCCGAAGTGCGAACGCACTTCCAACCACCCTCAATATAATAATCACCGCCTACGCGCTCGTGACACACCACCCCTCCACCATCTGCACAGGTACTGCTCACACTGGTGCCATGCCCTGCAATGACATTGGAAGGCTGGGCTGGGAGGTACCACAACCACCCCACGATGCACTGATGCACTCGCAGGCCGGCTGGCACTGCATGGGATGCTCGGAAAGCCTTTATGCTAAAAGGCTTGTCCTCTCCTCCCCCCCTCTCCTCCCCTCCTTCCCACGGCTTCCCTGCCCCACTCACTCGTGTCAACGGAAAAATGGCCTTATGGTTCGATGGCAGGATGGGCAGCACAGCAGTGGATGCGCGCAAGGCAGCCAAGCTGAGCGGCATGTCTCCACCTGCATACGCTCGGGCGCGAGCAGCCATTCAGAACGCTCTAGGCGTCAGGTAAGCGCAGTTTCTGGCATTAATTGCAAAGCTGCAACTCAACACAGCCACTGCCCAAGGCCACCACCCTGGCGTATGCCAACAACATGCGCCCGGGCGCGCGCGGCCATTCAGAACCGCTCTCAGCGTCAAGTAGGCGCCGTTGTTAGGATATAATGTTGAGGCACAGCGCACCGCAGTCTGTTAAGCTGCGTGAGCGCAAGTGACCCTTGCCTGCCTCCGAAGTAAGACCCAGCACAAGCCCAGCAGCGTGACTCCAAGGCCACAGCCACCACGTTCGTCACACCACTGGGCCAGGCTCGGGTTGGGCCAGGCTCGGGTTGGGCCAGGCTCGGGTTGGGCAGGTTACATGCTGCACGCTTGTGTATCTATTGTATCTATGCCCTTCTCTACGCATGTCCCACCGGCCGTTTTGTCATGTGCATTTCACCACATGCCTCTCGCCACACCACATGCCAGCTGTACTATTCTGTGCGCTGTGCGCATGCAGGTCGCAGTTGAGCCTACCCCAGTTGGCCCTTCAGTTTGGGTGCGTGCGAGTGCTGGAGTCCACGCAACGCAACCTGCACATGTGAGGAAGGGAAGGGGAAAGGGGATCGATCCATGGAGAGGGAGTGGGCGTGTCAGTGCTGTATGATGAGAAGAAGCAGTGCCACAGTTTGTGTGAGACAAGCACTGTGTTTTCCCCTGTTGCTTCGTTTCCTCTCCAAGCCTCGTCTTCCACCCTGTCCCCTCCCTTTTACCCCGTCCCCCTGTCCTCTCCCTCCTGCCCCCTCCATCCTGTCCCCTCACCTCACCTCCGCGGTGGTCTGCCTACCGCCTCTCAGCTTCACCTCACGCTTCACTGCCGCCCTCCCAGAGGCACGCAGGGGCGGCACTGACTTCTCCCGGCCGGCATACCTGGCAGCAGCGCTCATGCTCACTGCCACACGCAACCAGGTAAGGGAGAGTGTGCAACCAGG